CTTCCGTTTCAGATGAAGAGAAGACCATTGGAGATACTTCCTCAGCTGCCCCTCCTATCTCCCTCGATGATGAATTTCCGAAGGCCACCGCCATGGGTAAGCATACCGTGATCTGTCGCACAACGATTAGAAAGATCCAATTTTTATGAGCTGTGTGTGGAATTTTGTTGAGGGGGGCAGTTTTTTTTTCCCGCAAAGATGCGATTTTGCTGCCAATCAATCGTACGGATTATATATTATTCTCTTATAAATACGATGAATCTATTGGTTTCGTTCTGTTCAACGGAACCGGGGTGTTGGAGCCAAAAATGTTGATGGAATCCTCCACGGCCATCAGTTAAACTCGCGCTGTGATGTAAGTTTTGTTTTGCTCTTTCAATGGCTTGGTCAATCCCAACGATAGTAGAAATCGGTTTGCCAATTTGAATTGTATTCTTGTTCCTTCGGTACATATACTGTAGGGGGGAAAGGGAAGGGGCCTTGTCCGAGTGGGCAAAGTACACGGGCTTATTTGCTTCGTTATATATATATACATCTACTTACATGTTCTTTTTCGGTGAATTTTTCACAATGACAGGACCTTATGCAAGTGCAGGCTGGTCGGACCTCCCCATAGATCTCCTCATCCGGATACTGCATCTCCTTGAGCTCCCCGAGGCCCTCGCCTTCCATGCTGTCTGCCCATCATGGCGTTCTGCATCTGTGGCTGCAGGTGGTGTCCCACCTCGCCGCACACCGTGGCTTGTGTCCTTGGCGGAGGAGCCTCTTCCGGCAGGGGATCAACAGCGGCCTGTGCGTCGTGGATTATGGGATCCTACTGCCACTTCTGAGCTCCGCAACCTCGTGGATGCTGAGAAAACTTTCCAGGTCAGCTTTCCCTGGGGCCAGGCCGTGGCCTGCTGCGGCGCCTCCCATGGCTGGTTAATCATGGCAAACGAGCTCTCGGATCTCGTCCTCTATAACCCTTTCACCACGGCGTCGCTCTCGCTCCCGCCAATCACCGGTTTTGCATCGTGCATCGAGGGGGTTTACGGAGATGAAGGGAACGTCGTGGGCGATCGTTACAGTTGTTACGAGAGTGACAGTGTCTATGATGTGCGGTCTCTTGGTGGGTTCTTCTATGACAAGGTTGTGTTGTCCGGTTCTCCATCTGCTGGTCCCGCAATTGCTTTGTCCATGCACATGGACGGTAAGCGACTCTCTTTTGCGAGGGTCGGAGATAGTTCTTGGCGACAAGTTTCAGTGATAAGGAGAAGCCTGGATAGCTATGCCGATTGCGTCTACCACCGCGGCAGGTTCTACGTGGTGACAATGGAAGGTAAATTGAAGTCTTGGGGCCTCAGTGGACCGGAGGACAGACCGCGAAAGAAAACGATCATTGCCGAGGGAGATGATTACTTTTTTGAACTTATCACGAGATACCTAGTTTCAACTCCCTGGGGACATCTTCTGCAGATTCGTGTCGTCCTCGACAAGTATCAGGAGCACTACGTCAGGGTTGATGTAGACAGATTGGATCTCAAGAGCAGCCAAATGGTGGGAGTAAGCCCTGCGAAGGCTCTAAGGGGACACGCGGCGTTCCTTGGTCAGAATAGCCGGGGTATATTGTCCGTGGATAAATTCCCCGAGGTAAGGCCAGATTGTATCTACTTCACGACTCCCCGTCTCAGGGGGGACGTCGAGCATCGCCATAACCAATGGAGCGGTGTGAAGGTCTATGATTTGAGAAGTCGGAAGCTGGAGGATGCTTTTCTGTCGGGTGGTGGTCATTATGGAACAATCTGTCCATCGGAGGTCTGGTTCACGCCGAGCCTGTGATCACTTAGCAACCATGTCGGAAGATGTTTCATGCTGCACGCATAACTGGTGCTTTGCTTTGATTGTTTCCTTCTAAATTCTGTTTGCAGTTGCCTGTTCCAAGAACGCGTTGCATAATGTGGAAAGTGTGATTCATGTGTATATAGATTAATGAATAATGAGTTGTGTGTATATAGTAGTAGCTGGCATGCTGGCGATCACAAGTTTGTATGATGTCCTGTCTCAGCACAAGGTTCAATACTGAATATTTGGTTAGGTTTTGATGTGCACCGAGCTAAATATCACTGCCTATGAATAAGAGTCTGATCTTAAGAGAAAAGTTCAATGCTGAAGATTTGTTTTTTCATAAAGATGCATTTTCTCTGTTGGTTTCATTCTGTGCAATGCTTAGCCCTCTTATTCTACCCAAGAAAGAAATAATGGATTTTTTTTCCTGTTCAACCTCATCTTGTGAACATGCTTTGTTTATTATCTACGCCCCAGGATGTAAAGTTATTTCGCTATTTCATCACAGCTTCGAAGTGAAAGAAACAATTGATTTGCTAATTCTCATCAAGATTGGAATTAGCAAAGTCTCATTTAACACCTTGGAACGACCAACCTAATAAAGTCTAGGTGTATGTGCTTACCATTCCAGTCCTGAATTGATCCCTCCATTCCAAAATAAGTGTTGTGGTTTTAGTTCAAATTTGAATTAAAACCATGCACTATGCTCTCAAAGGAATAGAAAATATATGTGCTGCAATCATGCCATTTTCGAGCATCAAACACTTACTTTCTACAAAGATACCAACATAAGTGATGGATTTTATGTTATATTTGCAGCTGGTCTCAGCTGTTGGCACTCTCTTCTTTTTCCCAAATTAAGTTGAAGGTAAATTTCAAAATTAGTGGTCATTTTTTCCTTTAATTTAAATTGGTGTGCGCACACTGTCTTGAGGGAACAAATCAGTTTTCTGTAGCATCATTTCTTTGAGCATTGTATAAAGTTTTAGAAGTTCAATATTTTAAAAATTGTGCTATATACTATATGATCTCTAGTGTATAGAAGATAAAATCCAAACTTTTACATGCTTTTTCCAAGGTCTCGAGCATAGCCATGTCCTATAAACCTCACATCATGAGTTGATTCATCATATGTGTGAATTCAAGCTCTCACATATTAGTGAGCATATTAAGCTCTCGTCCAAATGTACTTAGGCAAAGTCATATAATATGTTTCAGCACTCTCTTGGATTTTTTTTTGATGCGACACTTTCTTGGGAATTTTGTTGGTGGCGTGGTGCCAACTCAAGCTTTATGAACAAAACAGGCAACAATGCTTTGCCTAGAATACCAAATGATTCCCAGCCAAAGTGTGCATTGTTATTTCCATGACTACATAAATGCGCGCCAACCTTTGGAAGAAAATGTTTTTGAATTACAATATTCTTTGAGAGCACTAATTCGGGTTAGTTATGATATAAATTTGAAAATGGGTAGTGATTTTCTGAAAGTTTACTGGAATAAGAATATAGTCTAAAACAACCGGGAGTTGTACAAACTTCTCCACTTTTGCTTTATCTTAAGGCTAAACTTCTCTCCGTAAAGAAGTGCTAATTTTATCAGCTAGGCATTACTCCCCGTTCTAACTGGATTGGTTAGTAAACAAGCTCTGTATTTTTAAACCTTTGTCGGTGATGCCAAAATGACATTTGGATGCACAAATCCAAGAGAAGCTCGCATATCAAAAGTGATGCTAATGATCCCAGGTTGAGAAGAAGTTGCAAATCAAGCAACAATATTAGGAGTTGGGTTAGACGTTTTAGTAGTTTTAAATTATTTTCTATGCTCTGTAAATTCTTTTACTCTATAATATGCAAAATCTGCTCAATGAGATTAGAGCATCTTATATGCAAGCTATGTGTGCCATGGCCTATGTGTTACTTTCATGTGTTCAACCCTTTTCAATTTAATTCTGATTCATGATTCAAGGAAACAACTTTGTATGCTCAAAACTTATTTGATATTGGTTTCTTCGGGGTTCAACCAATCATCTAAGTTTAAAATGGCACAAAACTTATTTAATATTGGGTTTTTTTCGCCAAAAGGGCCAAAAAAATCCACAGAAACATCACACACAAAAATTAAATTAAAGCGTTGCGCTTCAGAGGTTCTGTGAAATACAGCAGCAGCGACACTGAGCCGGGTCTCTATTCAGGTCGCCTGATACATGTGTTTTAAAATAGGACCTGTGCAACAATTACTCCACGAAATAGTACTGTAGAATTGTATTGAATAATTGTTGATGCAATATTGTGCCAGTACAAGAGGTATATATATAATCCAAGCCGCACCTGACCTAGCCCTATTACAAACCGAGTAGGAGTCCTAATCCTATTACAAGTTGTATTCTAACATCCCCCGCAGTGTCAATGGTAGGCTTGACGACGTTGAGACTGAAACGAATGTCTTGAAACGGAGTAGTCGCCAGGCCTTTAGTAAAGATATCAGCGAAGTGAGCAGAAGTAGGCACGTGGAGAACGCGAACTTGACCGAGAGCCACCTTCTCTCGAACAAAATGAATGTCGATCTCAGTATGCTTGGTGCGACGGTGTTGAACCGGATTCCTTGACATGTAGACAGTTGAAATATTATCACAGTAAACAATGGTAGCTTGCTCAATAGGACGGTGCAGCTCCGACAGAAACTGGCGCAACCAAACCGTTTCAGCAACCGCATGAGCCACAGCACGGTACTCAGCTTCAGCGGACGAGCGGGAGACCGTAACCTGCCTTTTTGAAGACCAAGAAACCAAATTGTTACCAAGAAAAACACAAAATCTGGATGTGGACCTACGAGTATCTGGACAACTAGTCCAGTCTGCATCAGAGTAAGCTGTCAAGGAGGTGGGAGAGGATTTGTTGATATGAAGACCTAAGTCTAGTGTGCCTTTGAGATATCGAAGAATATGTTTGACATGATTGTAGTATGGAGTACGAGGATCATGCATGTATAAACAAGCTTGTTGGACAGCAAAAGAAATTTCAGGACGAGTGAGAGTAAGATACTGAAGTGCACCGGTAAGACTACGATAAAGAGAAGGATCGGAGAAAGGATCACCATCGGCAGAGAGTTTGGAACCTGTATCAACAGGGGTACGAGAAGTTTGACAATCAAGCATACCAGCACGAGAAAGAAGATCCAGAGTGTACTGACGTTGAGACAAGAAAAGACCAGAGGAGTCACGGATAACAACAATACCTAAGAAGTGGTGAAGAAGACCTAAATCTGTCATAGAGAATTCGTGGCGAAGAAGAGAGATATGATCTAAAAATTGTTGTGAGGAAGCTGTGAGGATAATATCATCAACATATAAAAGAAGATAAGCAGTGTTGTTGTTGTGATGAAAGGTGAAGAGTGAAATGTCAGAACGGCAAGGGGTAAAACCAATGGTTCGAGCATAGGTAGAAAAACGTTGGAACCAGACATGTGGTGCTTGTTTCAGACCATAAAGAGATTTTTGAAGAAGACAAACATGATTAGGATAGGAGGAATGTTCGAAGCCAAGAGGTTGTTAACAATAGACTGTTTCTTGAAGAGAGCCATGAAGAAAAGCATTTTTGACATCTAGTTGATGAATTGGTCAGGAAGAAGAGATGGCGATGCTAAGGACAGTGCGGATAGTGCTGGGCTTGACAACTGGAGAGAAAGTCTCATCATAATCGATGCCGTGTTGCTGAGAGTAACCACGACATACCCATCGAGCCTTATAACATGCAAGACTCCCATCAGAATTAAATTTATGGCGAAAAACCCATTTACCCGAAACGATTTTTGTATTGGAAGGATAATGAGGACATGACTACCTTGGATACGACCAGAAATATTGCATACATGCAAATTTGTGTGATTTCTAGTGCAAACTATTCAATAATCTATTTATGTTATCCAGAACAAAAATACTTCACACACTTTTGTATTTTGTCTAATTGCACGTGTATGGGACATTTGTACAATCCACATATGAAGATAAGGAAAATGAGAAGTTTAGGTTCTGTTCAAAAAATCCTCTGACGTCATTTTTGAGCCAATAGAAGATAGAGTCCAAGTCTCTCACGTTCTGGATTCAGATTCGGACTGCACAGATATACCTGACTCGAAATGCCAACAACTTTTTCATACGGACTCCGAATTGGGTGATTCTTTTTCATTAGAAAGTAGATTTTGTGCTCTTTCCAACCCATTTGGATTCACCTTCAAATTCATTCGGAGCATTGAGATATCAACGAAACAACCTGACGTTGCAGCAGAATCCGAGTCAAACAACAAGTCCATAGGTGTTGCATCACCTCCACTTGGGCCCATGAGCCTTGTACGACCTAGGGTTAGTTTTAGGCTGCCTTGGGACGTCCTACCACCTCCTTGGCGGCCACCCCTTGCTCCTATATAAATAGATCCATCTAGTACCTTTTTCCTTGGGATTTGTTTAGTTAAAAGTTAGCCATTGCAACTTCATGTACTTCGTTTGTGTCCAACGACCAGACCAATACCGCTTTCGGGTCCCCAACTTTATCAATACTTCATCTATATTTGCAATATTCAGATTGCATTATCATATTCTTGCATGTTCTTTGATTGCGTGCAGGAATAGACCTTCGTGGTCAGGTTGAACGTGCTCCGGCGTGGTCAATAACCTCTCGGAGTTGGTTTAGCGATTGTTAAGCGCAACGTCGTGCACGTTTGTAGTCGGATCATCAAAGTCATCTCCACCAAATCGATAGTTATCATCTCATCTCCACCAAATTGCTCGTATGCTGTCTTGCTGAGTAGCTTGTGAAGATATAGACGATTTGTTGCATGACAAGCTGTCTCAAACGCTTCCGCCCAAAAGTGTTTTGGCGTCTTGTACTCATCAAGCATCGTTATCACCATCTCAATAAAAGTCCGATTCTTCCTCTCAACAACTCCATTTTGTTGAGGCGTGTACATAGCCGAGAACTCATGTGAAATCCCTTCTT